AAGGTTTTGTCATCATCAGGTACTTGTCGAAACGTTGTACATTTGCTGTTATGCTAAACTTATATCAAAGTTTTTCTTCATTACCCATTCAAGCTGTCTCCAACCATTATTAGTCTCAAAGTGGGTTCCTCGTCATCGAGTAATAGAGAACTATCAACCCATTGTGAAAGAGAGAATGTGACAGGTGGGTGTGGCAGGAGGGGTTTGATTTTCTCTTTGATAGCTCTGTAAAAAAAACATTGAAGGCTATAAAAATTATGGTCTGTTTGAGCAATAACAATTTTATAGAGAGCATTTTATGTTTAATTTCTTACATTTTCGAGGGGTGACGGAAAAAAATCGGGATGATGACATGCTAAGACAAAATGTGTCGTGTGTTACACTAGTGGTAATTCAGGATTTTTTTATATATATTTCCTTTTAGAATTAAGAACTTAAAACTTGTATACTATTAAAATATGGATTATTAGCTAAGATGTTATTCTATTTCAATTGGTATAACAAACAAAAAGTAGTTTAATAAAATTTTGAATGTAAGACACTAAAACCTTGTGCCATGCGCAGTAAAGGGTGTCCGGGCCGTTAGGGTTAAGAGACCTGGAGAAAAAGTGCTACAATGTATGAGGTAGGATTCCATGGTGAAATGTGGAAGGTGAACAAAGTGATTGAGGTGGGAGAGATCAATGACAGGCCTCCAGTCCCCAGTCTTTTTGGGAACAAGAAACAGATGGGAGTAAAATATTAGTGAATGATGTGGAACAGGTTCTATAGCTTGTTGGGTGAGGAAGTCCTGTACCGCCTCTGACAGACGCTGGAAATTTACTGGGTCCTGAGGAGAAGGGAAGGAAACAGGTACCTGGGACAAGGGAGGTGGAGCAGGGAACTGAAATTCGAATCCCTCTGACAAAAACCTGTAGAACCCTAACATCCAAGATAAAGTGCCACTGATGAATGAAGGCTGTAATGCTTGCTCCCACCAGGTAGTCACCGGAACTGTTGGCAGTGTATCATGCATCATTGAGAAAAATGGCAAGCCATGGCACTTAGGTAAGGAGGGACAGGTAAGAGATTGGAAGGATGGGAAACTGAATTAGGCACTGCACTTGGCCCTGCCTGAGATAAACAGGAAACTAGATAGGAAATGGTAGGTTGTTGCTGGGCAGATAACACCCAAGACTCTAAGGATTCTGGGACCATATCAAAGACGAAACATCTTAAAAACAGAGCCATATGCAAACTCCGGAGATAAGAAGCAGGTAAACGGGTTTGAAATAAAACAGCATCATGACCTAAAAGATCCCAACAACAAATATACTACATTTGTAAAGCCAAAGCCAAAGACAATAAACAAGCCAACAAGGAGGTAAGGAGGGAGAGGGTGTCCCCAGAAAACCCCTTAGGAGCCTCAGACAGAATATGGATCATGGAAAGGTACCGCAAAAGGGTCATGAGGGTAAAACAGAGATGAAAAAATTGGGCATGGGTGAGACTAATGGAAGATTCGGAGCCCATCCCCCAAATGGGCAAAACCGAACCCAATTGATGTTGGTCGATATATGGACAGTTTACTCTAAGAAATGTGAGGGCTGACTGATCAGAAGCTTGTGAGGGATGAGGCATACTAACACCATTGCCCAACTATGAGGCAAATTGGTCAGAATGAACCCAACTCTCAGGGGACGGGGGAAACACCAAGTACGGTTGGGAAGTATGTTCATGCAACAACAAAGGATTGGGGTCATAAGATATAGGAGCAAAGGATAAAACATCACATACCTGAAAAATACAGTCTGAAAAAAAACATGGATGGCCAAACAGATTCCTCAGGGACAATATGGGATGGCACGGCAAAATTAGGAGGTGGAAACGGGCAATCAAATTCATTGTCAACATGACCAGATTCCACAGGTTCAGGAGAAAGTTTGTTTGTTTGTTATGGATTTCGTGAAAAGCTACACAAGGGCTATCTGTGCTAGCCCTCCTTAATTTAGCAATGTAAGACTAGAGAGAAGGCAGCTAGTCATCACCACCCACCGCCAACTCTTGGGCTACTCTGTTACCAACAAATAGTGGGATTGACCGTCACATTATAATGCCCCCACAGCTGAAAGGGCAAGCATGTTTGGTGTGACGGGGATTCGAACCTGCGACCCGCAGATTGCGAGTCAGGAGGAAGAGGAGCAATGTCTGGAGATAAAGGTTGACCCATATAACATTTAATCTCCCAGCAAATAAATGTAGACAAATCTCCTGTCGGATCACCATCACCTGAAGCCTGTGGTATAGCGGTTGTTGATTATGTGACACCCAAATTGGTGACATTAATTTCAGAATTCATGATGAGGTAGTTGACAATAGCTTTTGAAGTAAGTAAGAAATACAACTAGAATAAGGGTAAGTGAATTGAAATGTCAAAAAAAACAACAACTGAGTATATTATATTAAATTAAACCACTTTGAGAAAATACGATCCAAATACAATTTAAATAGGGGAGTGCAGAAGGCTTGTGGCATGTGTAATAAAAAAGTTAGCATGTAGAGGGCAGCTTATAAACGAGAATAGCTAATCTTGTGAGTGGAGGGAAGTACCGTATCTGAAGTATACACAGCTTATTTTTCATCAACTAGCTTCCGATTACAATTTTTAAAAATGTAAGATTGTGGCATTATATTGACACATAAGATCTCTTTTCTTAGAAACTTTTTCTGTGTATCTCATTTTAAAAATTTTCAAGTCAATTTATAAATTCATATTTCAAATCAGTAAAAAAAAGAAAAAAAACAGTGAAAAGTAAATATTATAAAGTTTGTAGATTTTCTGTTCAAAAACTTTTTATTCTCACCTACTGATATACCAGATATAGTGTATATCATGCTACAACAGTACTCTAACTTACCTTAATCAGTGACCATTTGACCTGTTGAACTGTTCGTATTACATTCTCAAGTGGCACTGGTAGCTTATCCACACATTCAGAATTAAAACCTGAAGACAAAGCTTGCCTAGCAAGCATGAGTGTCATATTTCCCAAACCTAGGTGTTTCAGTAGCACAGCTAACATCAGTCTGGATATGTGATAAAAGACATGCAAATTGTTTGAGGAACCAAATAGAAATGTTATGGAAAACTGCACTCTCACTACACTTTGTCTTGCTCTAGTATAATCACATATGGAAACTTAGAATTCATATTTTATTATGAAAATTAACGTTGTCAAAGAGAAAATTAAAGAATTTCAAAAAGCCTAAGTAATGAGAAAAAACTTTTTCAAGAATTTCTAAACTTATCCCATATCTTATATTACTTAAATTGACATATTTAAAATATTATACTCAAAACATCCAAGATGGGTTATGCCATCTACATAAAACATTAAGCTTTATGAGGCAGTTAAAAAGCACAAAATAATTTGTTTTGCTGAAAAATTATTCTAATACCTATTTTCTAGTGATACATGCTGTATGTACACTTCCCTTCTGTTACTACAGTATTCACAGTTTGTAAAAGAAAAAAATGTGCCACTATAATTAAGTAAATAATTTGATTTAACTGATTATTTTATGCTTAATAGCGAACTCCTCTTTTGGAAAACATTACCTAATATTTTGTTAAAAAGTTCTTGAACGAATACATCCAGCTAAATGCTTCAATGTTCAAACCCATGTGAGGTAATATATATAAATATATATATTAGAAGAATATGTAGAATTTACATTATTAATCGATTTTTATGATACAGTAGGCTGCCCTTCAAATAAATTTTTAGTACCTTAACAGCTTGCCTCCTGAATAAATTAGTAGCATATGTGCTATATGTTCTTCAAATCTTATACAAGTATAAGTTCACCATGATGAGCAAAAAGCAACTGAAAACACCATCCATCTAATACGAACATTAGTATTAAATATTTAAATATAGGCCTAGCTCCACCCTAGTTCATTTAAAGATAAGCATTTTAAAAAGTTTGCAGCAAATACATTTAGAAGTCTCGAACATGTCACACACAGTTCAGTAGAACTGTATAAAGCAATTCATTACATTTTTATTTCTTGCTATTAACACTGACATTGCCAGCCATGGGTACCGTTTCTTGTTGGTGTGTTTTTTATTCAACCCATTCGGCTTTTTATTTTTAGCCAATTAAAATATGCCACCATTTTCAGCCCACCAAGAAAATGCAATTAACACCACCGTTGATACTGTAGGCTTCCTGAGTACCTAGCAATCAATGAAAAGTCTCATGTACATTTACTACGAGATGTGAATAAAACTGTAAAGTTAGAAAATGCTCAATCTGTTCCAAATGTCCTAATTGTCAATGTTCTTGTGATGATTGAACACCTGAAGTTAGGTTACAATGAAAAGCTGGAGGGAATTAACCCTCCAGCAAACGAAAAACTCTAATGCCAACTGGATCATTGAATCGACCTTCAACAAGAGCAATGACCTAATCTCTGATAACAACAATGCATGATGAAGATGATGACAATAATAATGATTCATCTGGGTCAACTTCAAATCAAGTTGATAATGATACTAATATTTTTGATGGTCCCCAAAGAAAAACATGTAGATACAAGAAGAGAAATCATCCACCATTTGGTCCCATATTTATAACACTTTTTTTATTTGAATGAGGATTGCATTCAAAATTTGCCATAGACAGAAGCCCACAATAGTGATTCTTTCAAGCAACTGAGAAAGTAAATAGACTTGTCACCTTTTGTGTGTTACTCATACACACTATTTGTCAAATATTGGTACCAAACAATCCCAAGGGTCTACTGCTTGCAGTTGTTGCACATGTAAATGCAAATGAAATGGAATCAATAAAGGTTCACAAAAAAGTAAATATCATCCATCATGAAAGCACAAGCAGCATTACATGAAAAATGTTTGCAATGAAAAGTTATGACTGCACCTCTTTGTTATGCCATGAGTAATGAATATGCAAAATATATGTTAGGTATTGGAATCAAAATGGTGAGTGTGTTCTCCATGGAATGTAATTAACTACTCCAATTCATTACGCTGCATGATTTAATAAAGATGTCACAAAACAGCCCATTGAATTAATTTTATATTCAAAAAATGTTTAGGTTTTATCATGGGGCACAAAATAAATTATACTTAATGGAGCCAAGATCACTTGAAAAAATAACCACATTTGTTGACAGAGATTACCTTACCAATACAGAATGCACTTGTAGAATCGGATACACAGCATTTATTAAAGTAATAAAATGTTTGATAGAATTCAATATGAAAGGTCAGAAGGTTGTGGATTATGCATTGGGTATTTTTCTATACAACAAATATGTGATATCATTGATGATATTCAAAGCCACATAAGTTGCACAAAAGATATTTATAGGCTTGAAATATTTAAGAAATATGAATATAAGCAGCATATTGCTTTTGGCTGTGCTCCAAGTAATGAAGTGGCATACTCATTGGGTTACTCAAGCCACTCACTAAGGTATGATCCATGCAATAAATGTCATCTAGCATTTCATGTCATGAAAACGTTCCGATAAAAGCTAAATTCTGCTCATCAGATTATATATGGTGCATCAAATTCAAGTTATTAATTAAAGATATCAAGTACAACATATCTATGATAATTTGGCTGGTGATGAAGCTTTGGTCATCATGGACTATAAGATGAAGTATGATCCAGTATACTTTTGTAAGAAAACAACTGAACATTATGGAAAGGAAGGATAATAAGTATTCAATTAGTTATTATGATCATATTTCATCTGGTGACTATAAACAATTTTGGATGGCTGTTTTGTCAATTTTTGAAGATGTGGTTAAGCTTCTGAAGAGAGACTTTTGACATGTTACATAAATATATGTCCAATCAGACAATGTGAAATGTTACCAATATGGATGTCTTTAATACAGAATGTACCTTGTAGTGAAAGCTTATTCAACTGAAATAAAATCTTACGTGCACACTGAAACTCAAAATGGAAGAGGGTTCTATTGATGCCTAGTTTGAGGTGGTGATTAAACATGTTTTGGCATTTGTGAATATGGGTAACAATGTCATATCTTCCATTGAACATTTTGTGTGGTTTGTGAAATTCAGCTCCAATTCTGTTTACATTAAAAAGGAAACACATTGAAGAAATTATGGAGAAATCTGAGAATTCATTTAAGTTCTTCAGCACTATCAAATAAATTAACAAAGCTGTTTTTCTAGACTGCGAAATCCATATATATATGAGTACTGATCAACGAGTAATAAAATGATTGATATGAAAGACCTCCATCAATCCCAACTTTGTCACAGATACTGTTACAAAATGTGCAATTGACTAACTGGTCAACAATGCAGATGTTGAAAATGGTAAAAATTACAATGCAATTGAATTTGATGAGGAGGATTCCAAAGACCTTTTTTTGCCAAGGGAAATGACATAGAAGACGACAATGCTGAGAATGAATGTGAAGACAATATTGAAACAGTTACCAGATGCATTTACATTCAAAACATGACACCAGGTTCAAAGAAAGAGAAAGCACAATCAATTGAATCATTCATTCAGAAGATGAGTCCCAAAGACACTGGAATGGATAAAGTTGACAAAGAGAATCCTGTGATCAGTGTCACAGATCCTTCAAAACACTTCAAGACTTATATATTCGCCACTTCTCATCAGAAAGTAGAGATTTCGTTTCATTTGCAATGCATTATGCACTTGAAATGATTGAAAGTGCTCGTGTTGAATTCATCAATACCAAGTCTCGTTATATCGATCCAGAGTCTTCAAAAGTCAAAGATACTGAAACAGTTCCGTCATCTCAAGAGGAAAATTCTGAAGCTGGTCAACTGCAATATATAACACGTGATCTTATGCTTCAGGCTCAAGCAGAATGTCAGACTCAAATTGAGCAAAGTATTGTCTATGAACAAAGAGAATTTTGCAAGTGGTTGGGAAAAGAGTCCATGATATAATATGATATATGAGCAAAAATATATTTCCCATTTCAAAGAAAATGTGGTCAAAATATTCAACAAAGGGAATGAAGATAAACACAATAAAATGGAACCTGGAAGAATTCATGAGGAGTTAATATAAAAATACCCTGGATGTTTGAATATACCTTCTGATACAAAAATCAGTCAGCATGTAACATCCTTGACCACGAACTATAAGAAGCATGGAAGTCTCACAAATGTCTCCAGAAGAGGAATTGTTCAAGAGTACAAGGATTTGTTGAGGTCTCTCACAGCTCTCAATTTAATACACATGAGCAAAGAACTTATTAAGCAATTGCGTGAAGCATATCCTGATGAAATGTTGCAAGACTTCCCAATTGAATCTCAAATCATTTAGTTCATCTCACAGGTCAGACGGGAGCTTAAGGATTCCCAAATGTAGTTTTAACCACTAGTTGATACTATTATTACTGATAGTTCAATGTCTTACAACTCTCCAATAAAAGACATTTTTTCAACAAAAATTATACAGAATCTTTCTCTCAAAATAACACATAAAAACAGGTTTCTGGTATGGGTGATTTTTTTAGCACTAACAGCCTAGTACTACAAATGGTACAGAGGGATGGCAATGTCAGTGTTAAGATACCTACTGTAATAGAATACTAAGCAACAAACAAAATACTTTACCTCCCTACTTCTTCCACAGGATGTTCTGAAGGAAAATCCATATGCAGGACTAGATTTTGTTGTTTCATGAAACCTTCTACTATTTGCAAGAAAGATGAAACAAGAGGATCTTGCAAACGAACCTCAGCCAAAGACTGCAAAAATGGGCCAACCTGGCCATTTAGAGATGCTGTTGCAAGTGATGGAACAAGTTCAGTCCGAGGAAGTGGTTTGGCTTCTGTAGGGGTACTCCCTGATACTATACAAAATAAAAACAATGCTTTATATTATTACTTCAAAATCAAATTGTTTGATATTCTGGTAAAAAATAGAAAGCAGCAGCAGCTCTATATCTGCTGTCATTAACTGATAAGATGCATCACAAACTGTAAAAATCTGTACTGTACCATACATGTGCTCTTAATAAAACACTAAAGTATGAAAAGAGAAGGTAAACTGAAAAAGCAATGAGTAAGAGGTTTACCCAATCCTCATGTAGAGTTAACACTAAATGATAGAATCAATTACAGTTTCATTCGTGCTCAGAAGCCCATTTTGAAATCACAATCCTTAAGAAGTCCAACATTCACCTGGAGTTGCTCCACTTGAACTTGTACTCCTTGCTTCTCCTTTTTCTTCTTCAAAAGGATTTGGTGGTTGGAGAATTTCTAGTCCTCCAGATAGAAGTTGACTATCTAACCACTGCCTGGACTCCTCTTCACACAGTTCTAGCGGTGGCCCAACAGTCTGATTGTGAGCATGAAGCCCCAGTAGACAAGCCAAAGTTCTCTCACTGTCAATTAATGGTGATGAAAGACTGGTTGGGTCAGTAACTGGGATTAAATCTTGACTAGGCTAGAAGAAGTGAGAACAAGTTTGACTATAAAATAGAGAATATCAATAGCAAAGAAATAATTAAACATTAGAACACATATTGTTTAATTTAGATACAAAAAAAAAAAGAATTGTCATCATATGCTTCAGAATACGTTTAAAATTGAAAATTTTTGATTTAGTTCTATATTGTTAGTGATACTCTTTAGCTAAGTACTTTGGTGCAAATAACTGAGAGATGAAACTTTTTCATATAAATTGTTAATCTTATGAATTTATTAAACCCATTCTTATCAGACACAAAAGGTAATATAGACTTACGTCACTGTATGTGCCTACTAAAAAGTTCTGCATCATATCTTTTGCCTCTTGAGAATGTCCTGCAGCATCAAAGGCAACTGTTGCATCTCGACCTGTCATAAATATTTGACGGAGCACCAAGTGAGTGTAAGATTTGTGCAATGTGGATTTTCTAAAATAAAATCAAGTTTCTGCTACAAGATATTCACAGAAAATGTCATTGGGATTTATACGAAAGTGTAGTCAATTTGAGTCAATTATATTCAAGTGTCTTATTTTGGTGAAAAGAAAAAGGAGCAAATGGTTTCACTGTGTAAAAAAATTTACAATAATAAAAACAGTTCATCTCATGAAGCCATCAAAAAAGTAGCAACCATTGCCAGCTACCTTTAATTCTCTCACTATGAGGTCAGTCGAATTGACCAGCCTCGTAACCATTTTGTACTCATTATAGTTTCCATACTATAACTTTTAATAAAGTATGTGTATCTTCACAAACTTTGGCAGACTTTTAGTAAACATTACAAGTATTTTGTACACAAAAAATTATATTTTTTAATGAAGTATTTTTTACTAAAGATTTGTCTGTGAATATATTTAGTATTTCTATATACTAATCTGTATGCTAAGTGATTTCCACATTATGATTAAATATCGTTTTCTTCATCTCAAAAATCTCAAATTTTATTAATGTAATCTCTAAAACCTTATAAATTTCAAATAGTTTTTCAGTAAAAATTTTTATTTTATCTTTTATTTTCTCTACCCACTTCATACAAGGTAGGTCAATTTGACTGATCTCGTAACCACCCAAAAAAAAATCTAAATAAAACTCAATTAACCCTATTTTTTCTTTCTAGAATAACTTCAGATTGTAATATGAAACTACATTTGTTTATCCTAAATAGTTTTACCCTCATAACAGTAAAAATCTATTTATACTTAAGTTATATTGTTTTATTGCCCTTTGAACACTGACTAATTACTATTCTCACCACTAAAAGTTGTAAATCAATTGGCAAATGTGCAGCTCATGTTACAGTATCGAATTACACTACACACAAGCTACTTGTGAGCATACCTCATGAAAAAATTTTATTATAGTATTATTATTTATTTTACTTAATATAACCTTAACCCTTTTGCAACATTTTGATTTTGAAATTACTGTTTAATCCTTTCACAACAGGTTCCACTTTAAACACTTTTCAGTGCAAGTCAATGTTAGGTCAACTGTATCACAACATTGATCTTATTATGCACACGGTAACCCAATGTTTTGCTAAATTGGTGGGTCTGTGTCAGCTAAGTGAGCATATTGACATTAAAATAACACTGGCAAGAAGCACTGGGTCAACTCTACATCTGACAAAAATTCCAACATGGGACCGACATTGACATGCTACCTGGGAAGATATAATGTGACTTCTCCTATTCATTAATGAAAATAAAATGTACACAGTAGGTTACACTGCTAGAATATATTATATAGGAGGTAATGTAAGCTACAAGGATCATGTAAAAAACACAGGACAATACCTCTTTACTAAATAAAATAATGATTATCATACACATTTCTTTAAACATCTAACTGGTTATGCATTTTCAACTGTGTTTCTTAGATAAGTGACAGGAAAACATACTAGTGTAAAGTGGTACCACACAATACCTTTCACTAAATACGTGACAAGAAAACACATCATTTTAGAATGATATCACAAATACCTTTTGATTGATAAGTGACAAGGAAACATGCTAGTGTAAAATGGTACCATAAAGGACATTTTTGTACATAAAAAAAGAGGGAAAACGTGGTAGAAATTTTCAACACAGTATCATGCTATACTCATTATATAGAAATATAAAACTATACAACACAAATGAGTTATAACTTTTTACTCAAGAAAAAAGTTAGATACAATTTCAAGAATAATTAGCTTCATCTAAAAATGCTTTTTTAACACTAGAAAAGTGATTAGCAAAATAGTTTTTCATCCACAAGTAAAGTCTATATTTATCCGTCTATCCATTATTGTTAGAATAATATCAATAAGCTTTGAAATAGTTTCCCACTGAAATGTGAAAGCAATTTATCTATCTATCCATTGATCATCCATTTATCTACATGTATTAGTAGCACATATTAAACTGTTTTCAAACTGAATAAAAATTCAATCACCAGCATAGTTCATGAGAGTTTCTAGACCACAAGGTGCACTGGATTTGAAGTCATGAATATCATACACTTTGCCTTTAATGACAAGCCATGTTCCTCCATCTTTATTGTGATTTTCCAAGTCTGCTGGATATACGATAGGATATTCACATGGTCTCTGAATTGGAGATGGACTTCTTGTGCTTCCTGAAGTTTTTAATAAATTCAAAAAATATGAATTTCACATAGGCACAGTCACATGTACATGCAAATACTGGTTCTTTTCCATGTCTAATAATCTTTTTAAATACAATTTTTATAAGAATCAGAATGCTTTCTTGATTGGTAGTGTTAAAGTTAATATTATGTATGGCTGAATATACTTTTGAGGAAACATAAACTAGTTACAAAAAATATATGTAAAAGTAACCTTTATTAGTTCTGACACATATACATAGCAAAGTAAATTTAAAATATCAAATATCATATGTGAACGATTTTCACATAAAATTTATCACTGAGACATACAAACTACAGTAGATTCAAGTAGCACATTTATACAGATTGTTATGTTGTGCAGATGGAAAAAAATGAAACTGGAAGTAGCTCTGTTCAAATTAAAACTATCTCACTAATAAATTTAGTGTCCACTTGCACTAAGTTGCCAATATTCATAGCAAATATTAAAAAAATCTTCGAGGTGCATTTATTAGAACAGAATTAAAAAATTAGTTTATTCCTATATGTGTCATATCTGTTGCGAGATACATCATCATCACCAAACCACATTACTGCTATTAGCATCAACCATGTCTAGACTAAATCCATTTAATCAAAACCTGCTGGATCTTATTACAAAAATAGTAAATAATATATCAGAGTTCACCTAACCTGGCAATTAGGATGTCATTCTTCTAGTATCAGATGTCCAACTCAGCAGATAGTGACTAACTCTATGTAAGCAAAAAAACACCTTTGCTTATAGTAAACTTACCAACGAATCCAGGCCAGGCTATATCATCTGCATCCTCTTTCTCATTACCAGGAGCTAGCCTATTGAAGCGGTCAAGACTATCCAACAGTGGATTTAACAGAGATATTACACTTGATTCTTGCACTACATTTGGAACCATCAACTCAAGCAACAAGAGGCTGACTAATAGTTCTTGCAATAAAACACCTGTTATCAACAACAAGTAAAATGATAATAAATAAATTCCATTTAAAATTTATTTGTGTAAAACAATCTATACCCAAAAGAATAAATTCAATGTTTAGAGATAAAAACATTTCATAATACATCATTGGCTTAACTAAAGGCATATAGATTTAAACTGTAAAAATTTGCTATATATATATTAAGTTTAAAAACAAAAACAATATACATAATTATTCTTTCTTAATCCCTTGATGAAAATCATATGTCATGTTCAACTTGCTAGTGTAGGTATAGCAAAAAACTCAAACTCTCAACATATAAACCTATTTCATTGATCACGTCAAAATGTAAGTGATAAAACTGAAATGTCGAAACCTCACTTGCCCCTTGTAACTGCCCAAGGCTCATCTTGAGACTTTCATTTAACTTGTAAATAAAATTAAAATGCATTGTACAAAGCTGTAGGTCCTTACTAGAAGTTTAGTCACAACTCTAAGAAATTTTAAATTATTTTGCTGGAAATAAATTAATTTTATATTTTTTCTCATTTCCCAAAGTCAGGCTTGAGTTAATATTTAATTTCATACACTAAACATTAAAACTAATTCCAAGTATCTTAACTATAAAGTTTTAAAGTAAATCCTCTTAACCAATAACACCAACAGTATCACTAAACTACAATATAATTTTTAGTGAATTAATAAAAAGCTTTCTTTTTATTTAATATAATATGAATTATGCTCAGAATGCTCTTACAGCCCTTTCAACAGGATTTTCTAGTTGATAGCCTACAATGAGAAATTCCTTAACTAACTTAATTCCCAAAGACTCTAACCATGATGATTTAGTTTTTTATGCAATAAATGACCCAAAATTATTACATTACAAATCATTTCCATAGTTATTTGTATACAGTAAAATAGTTTTTGAGTATTAAGTAATTAATTATGTTATAGAAGAAGAACCATCAGAAAGAGAAATTCATGAGCAAATATGAGGATACCGTAGCACAAGATGTAATAAAATGTGTTGTTTACCAAGTCTGAAATTACCTGTTAGATCACTTTCTAACACACTTGCAGCAAGAGCAAAGTGACAAGAACTGTATGATGCTAAAGTACAAGCCACACACAAACAGTCACTGATATGGGAAATCAACAAACTCACATACTTTTTCAAAAGACTTGCTCCACCAATAACCTCCATGTCTAAAAAAGAGAAATCCAAAGTCAACCTCAACCATTTGATAATTGTTTTTTTTAAATGTAACACAGTTTTTTATGATCAACTTTGGCAAGTGGCTGAAAATACATGTGAACAATTTTCAAACAAAGATACACAAGTAACAAGAAAATGTCACCAAATAAAACAAGTTAAATAGAAAAACATTTAGTCTACTATAAAAGATAGATAAATAAATGCAACTGGCAAAATTATAAAACTTAATTTAGCAAACATACCTAATGAAGAGGTAGATGTTCTTGCCTTATCCTTGCAATCTTCATCAGGAAACAACTGACTAAGCAACAATCTCTGGAACCTAAGCAATAGATCTAATGAGGCTGATCTTTCTGATGACTCTCCTCGAATATTCTGTGATGAAGACAAATTTAAATTCTCTGGAAAGTAGCTATGGAGTTTGTACAATGTTTGTGATGAGATATTTCTAAAAAGAGAAAAACATACAAAATTATAGTATCAAGATTCTATTTTCTATTTTTGGTTAGTTTCAAGTATAAAAACTTCAGGACTTAAAACAAGAACAATTTCCCTATGTAATATGTTTAGATTATTGTAATTCATATTATTTATTGCACATAAATAACTACAGCAGTGATAGCATTCACCATTAAACATTCATGTCTAAAACTGACTGATTCACACTATCTTTGTCTGATCTCTTTTTTGGTCAAATATGCATACCAGAAACTGTTTCTCATAAGCATTGGATTTGAGACATTGTAATCTTTAGTTCTATGTTTGTATATATGAACACTAGGTTTTTAAATGGGAACCTACTTCCTGAACTTAATTCACAACTCAATATAGACTTATATAGACAGAGATATCATTGAAATTAAATTCCTTCAGCAAAAAAACTTGAATGCTTGCTTTATATTTGGTATCCAGACATACCATGTATTTTCTACCTTCTTATTTTAATGTATATATTTATTTTGCACATTTTTTCATTTATTCTGAATCTATGCAATTTTACACAAACACATGGTCCAGAAAACCATTAAGTTGACTTTGTTTAAGCTGCCTTTGTTCCTTCATTGTTCCATACAGATAACACCAACTATGCCCATTGGGGATATTGCTGTAACTCTGCATTTTGTACAAGGTCAGTAACAGCACTGTCCTTTACTGGTATGGTAGGTGACGTCTAAGTATAGCCTCCACTATGTTGAATGAGTATGACCAATCACATGGATGGTGCTATATGCTACAGGCACATCCAAAGTTTCACATTAAGTAAGAAACATTAGATTTAAACAGTCTGACCATCAAGTATCTTAATGCAAGTATGCAAACTGTGTTTTTGTCTTTGACATAAATAAATATTGTATTCAATTCAAATAACACATCATTTTCAGTCTTTTTATTTCTTTGCTTCATCGTATCAATGCAGATAAGTATGCACATCATGACTTTTTACAGAGTTGCATTCAAAATTTAATGAAACTACTATATTATCAATGTACATCAATAAACTTGATATGTCAGATTTTAATATTACATAAGTTCTAATTTCTTAATTTCAAAACAAAATACATAAATAACTTCTCAATTTTCACTTGTCTGTATCATAACACGGGATGATGAGAAAATTAGAAATAGACAGTTTGAAGCAAGCATTTCACTTGTCTGTATCATAACATATGCTTGCTTCAAACTGTCTATTTCTAATTTTCTCATCATCCCTTCACTTGTCTGTATCATAACATATGCTTGCTTGAAACTGTCAATTTCTAATTTTCTCATCATCCCTATAAGATGTCCTGAATTTAACATAAGTTATAAATTTATACTTTAGATATGACTAATGAATAGTCTAATTTTAAAGTCTCCAATCTTCTTGGTTTATGAAGATATGAGCCAAAAAGCCAAACACCCTCCTATCACATCCTGTATTTCATAAAATATCAATAACTTTCTCAGTTAATTTTGGACTATTTATAGCCAAGAGAAAGAGATGATTTTGATTTACTCATTTCCATGTAAGGCTAACTCATTATGATGAAAGAGTTTGAATTTTTCACCCTACAGATTCATTGTTACTGTTGCCAAGTTTACATTAACCATGTAAGTGAATTATTCTAAGGCATTTATATCTTGTTAGAAAGACAATTAAATTATAATAATTATAGGAAATTACCCACTTTACTTGTAGTTTTTTTGGGTTCTTAAATCTATATTTCAAATAAATAAAAATTATTTGATGTACTACTACTACCATTGTTATAAAAAAGTAGGGTTAACTTTCCTCAGGTGGTCAAGAGCAAAAAACAAGAGGTCAGAGATAAGTATTAAATTTCTTGTTTTTTACGTATATTTTATATTTATTGTTATAAAAGTAACTGAAATGTAAACATGAGAAACTTAATTAGATAACAAAACATAAATAAAATGTTCTCAACAAGGTCTGCACATGAGCTGCATGCATTGTGTAATTCAATATCGTAGCTTGAGCCACACATTATGTTTAGTAATTAGACATGTTTCAAAGAAACACATAACAATAAAATTAAATAATAAATGTCAACTGTTATGAGCCTGAGGCTGTTTAAAATAAATAACTAATTTTCTATTGCAATCTGCAGTCATTTTATAAAGAAAAAATGGTAATATAATTTTATTTTATATTTTATTTCTAATGGTTACAAGGTTGATCAAATGGAATGAGTCTGTATAGTGCTAGAATAGAGAAAATAACAGATAAAATAAAAAATTTATATTCATTCAGAAGATTCTAGAGGTTATGCAAATCAAATGTGAAAACTGTAAAATTAAAAAAATAATTTTTATCTTCACATGAAAATTACCTTGCACTCAGACTAGTCAGTCTGAATCACACCAACTATACAAATTCACATATAAAATTTTAGTAAAAATACTTGATTTAAAAAATCTGATTTTTTTTGTGTACAAAAGACTAGTAATGCTATAAAAAAGCTTGCCAAATTCTGTGAAGATACACTTACTATGTTAAAAAAAATATAGTATGTATATGTTCATAGTAGTCACAAGGTCCATCAAAATCACTGAGCCTGTATACAGAGTTAAATTCAGATTTATATTAGTTAAATTCAGACTTACTTTCTAATTTACCTTGCCAATCCTCTCATTATAATGTAGACCTAACTTACACACTTCAAGGAGAACAGCTTAACCTGAGAATTTTATATATGCACAATATAGATACTGTTGATTCATCTTGATGTTCTCACATCATAATATATTTATGTACTGCACCAAAATGACAAAACACATTACAGTGAAGTAAATTTACACTACTTATAAATAAGTTTGCCATTTCCATAAGTGGAAACACAAGATAATGCCAGTACTGACAATTTCCAAGAATTTATAAAGAAGTTTTTCCATGTATAGTCATCACTGGTGGTAGGCTTATGAAATAAATCACTTTCAAGGCAAAAGAGTGTATAAAAAAGATAACTCAAGGACAAAATGAAACAAGCAAATGGCAGACAAATTAAGTTCAAATTTTTTATATATTTTTCTTGAGGCATTCTTACTGATTTCTATCTGGCCAAAACTAATAGTACAGATTTCCATACCCAATACAGACTCTACCACATATTTTATTAAGTATCTACATTAAGTAAATGAGAGATACAAAACTATTAATTACAAACAGACATATTTTCTACAATAACAAACTTAAAAGATAAATTATATATTTGATTTTGAAATGTTTTTAAGATATTATGAAAATATTACAATTTAGAATTCGATGACGAGGAACCCACTTTGAGACTAATAATGGCTGGAGACGGCTTAAATGGGTAATGAAGAAAAACTTTAATATAAGTTTAACATGACAGCAAATGTACAACGTTTCGACAAGGTTTTGATGATGACAAAACCTTGTCGAAACGTTGTACATTTGCTGTCATGTTAAACTTATATTAAAGTTTTTCTTCATTACCCATTTAAGCCGTCTCCAGCCATTATTACAATTTAGAAATATCACTTATTGAAAAAAAAAAGTATAAAAATAAAAAAACACTTTTAAATTTATAAAATTTTTCCCCAAATAAATTTT